TTTAGTAAACATAATAAATTTATTATTGTTTATATAGATGATATTTTAGTATTTAGTAAAAATAGGCGAGAACATAGAGGTCATTTACTTAGACATGGCTTAATTATAAATAAAAAGAAAATGTTTTTATTTAAAGAATATATAGAATTTTTAGGAGTAAATATAGGTAAAGGAAAAATAGAATTACAACCACATATAGCTCAGAAAGCTTTGGATTTTCCAGATAAACTTGAAGATCTTAAACAATTACAAAAATTCTTAGGATTAGTAAATTATGCTAGATCTTTTATTAAAAACCTAGGAAAAATTGCAGGACCTTTATATGGAAAAACTTCACCAAAAGGTCAAAGATACTTTAATATATAAGATATTAAATTAGTTCAAAAAATAAAAGAAAAATTAAAAGATTTACCTAAATTATCTATGCCATTAGAAACAGATTTTCTAATTATAGAAACAGATGGAAGTATAACAGGATGGGGAGCAATTTTAATTGCAAAACCCAATAAATATGCAGATAAAGATAGTGAAAAAATTGTAAGATATAATAGTGGAAATTATAAAGAAAAAGGTAATATAAGTAGCATAGATTTAAAATTACTTGCAGTAAATTATGCTTTAGATTCTTTTGAATTATTTATTATTTCTAAAAAAAGAAATTACTTTAAGAACAGATTGTGAAGCAATTGTAAATTTTGTTAATAAAATGAAATTAGAAAATAAAAGAAGTAATAGAAGAAGATGGTTAAATTTCATAGACAGAATAACTAATACTGGATTGGTAATTAATTTTGAACATATTAAAGGTAGTGATAATCAGATTGCAGATATTTTAAGTAGAATAATTAAAAATAAAGAATATGACTGATCATTTATTGCAGATGCAAAGACCAAGAGGTCCCAGACCAGGATTACCAATTGTTGGCAGTTCCAGTTCTCAGACAAATATACTACAGACTCATGATAAGTTAAGATTTGGTAATATAGAGTTACTTTGTTTTCCAAACAGTAATATTAGTTTTAAGACACTCTCTCATATTTCAATTACTAAATCAGAAAAATGCATTTTAGATAATTTATGGATATCTTACAATAAGAATCCAAAAGATCAAAAATATTTTTTAGCATGTTTAAATGCTCTTCCATACTTCTATTATATTATTCCAAGTCTGAGGATCATGTGCTGTAATATTTAATAACTGTGGTTTATGTGGTGTTTGAAAATCTATATATAACGTCTCTATGATTTGGATTAAACTAGTTGCACATTCCTAGTGCAAATTAAGTTTGACATTATGTGATATGTAGAAAATTGAGCAATTATTTGAATAAGTGTGGCAAAAATCAATGATCATGATTGTTGCCGTGTCAAACAATATTAAACTCATTGTCATCCACAATGTACATGTAATAGAATTGAATTAGGATTAAACTAAGGTTCCATTTGATTGCAAGAATAAAATTTGGGTGAAAAACAGAATTTCGAAAAATTAAATTGTCTAGAACTTGTTTTTATTGGGAATTGTCAATTAAATGTGTTAGATTGATATAATTTTTCATTTGAAAAATGTTGAAATTTTGGATTTTTCGATGTTTGTTTGACTTTACTTTTCATGAAAGTTATCAATTAAAGGAATAGAATTTGTTGAAATTGCCCAAAAAAAAAAAATAATAAAAAAAAAGTTGGAAAACCCAATTCCCATCAAAATCAAAGGAAATTGAATTCCTTGAAAACATGAAAAATGGCATCACGTAAGGAGTATATGGAAAATCAATTCCATGAAATTTTTTGACAATCAAATAACACATTTGGATGGAAATTTTTCCCATTTTTCATGAAAAATGGAGGGTATTAAACAGACCCTAAACCTAATACTCTGTACTTAACTATTCTCCCAATATACCTTTTTTACTGAAATTATTCTTTAATTACAATTTCCTCTCAAAAAAATTCCCGCTACATATAAAAGTAGCAGTAGACAAGATCTTTTGTCATGAAGAGCCAACCGTCGTTCCTAGAACAACCAATCTCCGCCTATAAAATCCGCTTGATAACGCCATTGCTATCTCACCTCCTTGATTTCCACCATTATTTGGCCTTTTTCTCGAGGAATTGACTTGATCAACCCACTATTGAAGGATTCTGCAATACCAAACCATTAAGCAACAAGGAGAAAAACACCACCGCCTCCACACGACCACTCTGGTGGATGGTGCTGTTGGAAATTATGTTGGTGGAATGATACCGAGTTTTCTCATATCGGTTTATAATTTTAGTTAATTACACAATAAACTAAATTATCATAAACCACAATATATTAATCTAATTTAGAGCTAAATTATATTAAGTTATGTAAAACACGTTAATTTAATAAATCTAAACGGGAAAGCTGAAAATTAACAGAAACTTCAGAGAACAAAAAAAATAAAATTAATGACATGCTTATAACTTCATATAAACTTTTAATCCAAGGCCTGTGTAAACACAGTGTCCTTAAAACAGATTCGCACTTTCACCATACGTGCTTGAGTTTTAATCCGAGCGTCTGTTTCCCAAGATATAACGGTATATAGTAGAATCTGAGCACCGTAGATAATACTCTGGCGAACTGATCTAGTATCCGAATAATATCACCACAAGAACAAGACCTTACTGGACAAGGAATGCAGAAAAGAAGAAACTGTGTATACAGGAATGTTGGTAAGATTTTCGAGTGTGTTAAATTGCTGGAGAATGAGCCTTTTAATAGGCATACTGCCCATTAACACTGTGACCATTGAGAGTCCATTGGAGTTACTGCCCATTAATACTGTGACCATTGGGATTTCATTGGAGTTTTTGTAGTTTTAGAAACTCAAAAGTCATTGGAGAAAATAAAAAAAAAAAAATTGCAAAACATGGGCTCTCCAAAGGGGCGAATTTTGCCTTTTTCGGTCCGACATTCGTGTGCGCAGATCGCACCCGCACCCAACTTCAAGGTCCGAAGACTATTTCGGTCCGAGATTTGCACCCCCTGTGCGCGCACGTGAAGAGAGCCTCTATACTACACATGATTACACCATTCCAAAGTGTAGGCATATATAAAGTGGTTCATGCTTTCTTCATTTTTCTATGTGGGACAAATGTCACTTTTCCCACATAAACCATCTTCCAATGGCCAACTTTGAGCTCCAATTTCTCCTTCATCCGTTAATCAATTTTGGCAAGTAA